CATGCATTCTTGAAAGAAATCTAAGTGATAGTACCGCAGTATTTATAGTTACAGTTTGTGTTTTAAAGCCTTGAGATCAGCATTTTGTAATTATTTTTCTTTGTTCTTTTAGATCTCAGACAAATATGATGTGCCCCATGATAAGATTGGGAAAATATTCAAGAAATGTAAAAAAGGGTAAGTGTTAATTGGCATTCCTAGTAACCCTGAATAATGTTAATATTATGTGACATTAATGCGATTCACATGCATTTATGCTCAGTCTAGAAAAAGTTATAGAAACATGAATGCAAGGATGTATTTTTTTCTTAAATTATCCACACAACATTGATCTACCTTTCTAAGACATCTTTGTGGACTTTGTTTTTCAAATACAAATTTTATTTGCTCTTCTTTTGCTTAGCAGCAGTGAGTGGCTCCAAATTCCAGAGCACATTATGAAATTTAGTAAGGATAACAACAAGCACTACCCCATTTGTTGAGCCCCTGTCATGTGTCAGGCACTGGATCAGATACTTCACATATTATTTAATTTTCACATTATCCTCTGAGCTGGGTGTGATATTCATTAGTTTATAGACAAGGCAGCTGAGGAACATCTGAGGTATGTCCCGGATCAAGTAGCAGGTTAGTGCCAAGGCTATAGTTCAGGTTCAACTTATGTTCCTTCTACTGTATTCTCCTGCCCTTGTTCTCATTTTTAATCGTAGAACATTGCTTCTTTGTCCAGAAATTAATATTTTAGTTCCTGTTTCATTTAAGTGACTATGCTGTTTGATATGGATAAGCAGAGTATGACTTAAGAATCATTTGACTTCATTCTAAAGCAAATCCTAATTGGTGAACCCAATGGGAAGGGTTGGACTTAGTAGTAGTTCAGTTAAACTTTGAGGATAACTTACCAGGGAAGATCATTGGTCAGGGAGCTGTGGCTTCAGATCCCATCGGTTAATTTTACTGATATACTTTCTAAAGCTGGATCAATGAAGTGCTTCTGTAGACTTATTTTGTGCATCGTAATAGCTCCTGTTTATGAGTGATTCCTACATGCTGCAGTAATAACAGTAAAGAAGCTAGTGTGCTTTGTTTTATCGCTGGCCCGACACTCTTATAAGAACTCTACTTGAGTCCCTCACGTAGTCCTCAGTCTCACAGGACAGGCCCCGAGACTACCTCTATTTCATAGACAAGGGAATCGGGGCTACAGGAGGCTGTATGAAGAAGGCACCTCTCATGTTGCAGCTGGTTAGCAGCCGCGCTGCCTTGGGGTCTGCCTGACTTCCAAGCTGGCAGGAGTGAGTAGACCTGTCTTGCTTCTCCTCTTCCAGTATTCTGGTGAACATGGACGACAACATCGTGAAGCATTACTCCAATGAAGACACCTTCCAGCTGCAGATTGAAGAAGCGGGGGGGTCTTACAGACTCACTCTCACTGAGATCTAAGGACACACTGGCCTGCCACTCCCAGCGAGCTTAGGGAAGGTGTGACGTAGCTCCTACTGTTTGGCAAGCTGCAGGTACATCGCAGGTATGGGTGGATGTCAACGGAAGGGACTCCTCTCGAGTTGGAGACGGTGCTGCATGTGGCTTATAGATAGCGTTCCACATACTACATTGGCGTTTTCAGATGACAGAAATCCATACACTATTATGTTTGAATTTTCTGATATAAATACTTAGGATTAAAAGTGAAAACTTTGTTCTAAGATTTAATAGACTCTCTGGGAACCTTTGGAAGATCTGCTACATTATTTATAAAAATATTGGGATATGTACCTTGCCTCTTCAGTGTCGGTGGGCCTGCTCACTAGCGCAAGTCAGAAAAGGCAGTGGGCTTGGGTTTAAGGATTTCGTGCCCTTGCCTGAACTCAGTGTAACTCTGCCTGCCTCAGGTTAGCGGGAGTAGCGTCCAAAGAGGAGAGGATGCGCCCTTTCTCCCTCAGCCTCTCATCCTCCAGAAAATGTTTACTCAAATAGGGCATGTTACTGAATCTTCCTTTGCAACTTTCTTGAACATATCAACCACCTTTCTTATGAAGAACTGAAAAATGGGTTACAGTATGAATCAGTTAAGCTAACGCTGCATTGTATATAAGTGCAATACATTTTTGAAGGCCTGTGTCTGTAAATGTGTATATACATGTCTAATACAAATAGATAATATATAAAGGTGGTGTCTGTACATATAGTGAAGAGATGCAATAAGGTCTACCTTGAAGACTTCCCCTAAAAGAAAGGTTAAGTTATTTTTGATAATGTATACCAAGCAGATTGAGTACTGTGCCTAGTGGAATTCACTAAGATGTGTTTTCCTAAACAGCAGTCATCCCAGAGCATAGCAAAACCTTCTCAAATGGCATAGATTGTTTGCTCTTGAGAGTGTTACTCGGATTTCTGCACTGTTTAACAAATGAAGTATAGGAAAAAACACTACTGCGACTACTAGCTGTTATGTAGGCGAATGTCAATCCTACGTACCTAAGAGAGTGAACACACAGTCCTTATGACAACACACACGCGATTGTTGTGTACTAGGTGATACGACCCAAAGTGGAGTCCTTTCTCATCTTCCTCTTCTAGGAAATGATTTCTATTTTATCATGTTTCAGAGCCTTCATGCTTTGATTGACTTGTATGCTAACAATTCTAGAAAGCATTCATGAGTTTATGATACTGTATTACTATGGCAGGGGAACATTTTGTACACATTTTTAAATATATGAAAGTACTAAAGTGTAATTTTATAACATAAAATCACGGGTATCTAGGTTCAGGGAGCTAGAATAGGTCATTTGTATAAGTAGGATTGATGGTGACATTTTTACATTAAAATATTCTAATGAAGTATGTGAACTAAATTGCTGGTTTTCTAAGATAAGATATGGGACACGGGTCATAACTATTTTATATTTTGTTTATGAAATAAGTTTTTGTCTTTATTGTTTTTAATTGTATCATTGAAGATGTATTTTAAACCAAAGGGATTAAATTTTATATGTTTATTTCATAACATGTCATTTCTTCTTGCTCCGTTTGACGTTATCCTTTCATTAGTAATACAGAATGTGAGATCTTAAACTAATAGAGCTGAAAGGAATCTCCTTAGCATTTTCTTCTCATTTCTCAAATGGATACTCCTGTGTTTTCCTTCATCTTGATTTTTCCTTATGGATGTCTGAAATGACCCAAGCTCTTAAATAAGGGAGCCCTGAATAATTTTTCAACTTGTAATGAAAATTTAGCCACTAAAGCTAAAGGTATATGCTTTCAGACCTAAGATCCTCAGTGTTCTTAGTTTTTAAAAGCTTTACAAAAAATGTTTGATTTAAAATCAACCAATAATGTTTCAGTTCACCAGACTTTCTAAATCAAACAGCAGTTGTGAGCTTATTCAGGTAACCCAAGGCCTAAATATGACAAATGCTAATAGAAACTTCTAATGAATACATGATCAAATTAATGAAGTGAACCCCCTGAAAGATTTCCTGTGACATCTCTTCATTTTCCACTCTAATCCTCGGGCCACAGGTCAAGAATCTCGGGGCAGATTCCACTCCTCGTCACTCGGTGGTGCCAGAGCCCAGCTCGGAGCCTTTGCTGGACTCCACGTTCACCGAAGCTCCGAGGAGCTCCACAGGTTCCCTTCTGCTCCCCTGAGCTTCCCATATTCAGCTGTGTTTCTTTCTCCCTTGACAGCAGAGAGACTGTTTACAAGTCAGAAGCTCATGAAACAGTCTGGCCTCGACCTGGACCAGCAGGCCCCAGGGTAGACATTGCCTACATCAAGTCAACAGAGCAGAAGTCCCTAAGAGAGTGTGCTCAAGAAGAGGTGCTTTCCTGAGGCCCACGAGACAGGGTAGGGAAGGAACCCCAGGAGAAGGCAGACGCAGGACTGTGCCTTGGTGGGACGGTGCAGAGTGCACTCCTGGGCATGGTTTCTAGCCCCCTGCTCATAAGGAAGCAGTACAGCAGTGTCCTCCAGTGTTAGCACTGTGTGCATCTCCCCTGCAAATCTCAGTCCCCAGTATGTAGCAGGTGGAGGCCCCCTGGTCAGTGCGGGGTGTCGTCAGAACTTGGACCCATGCCTCCTGCCTCCCCGGGCACAGAAGGCACACAGATGGTTTCTCTCCCTTCTTGTCTCTCCTGCCTCCCACGCATTTGGCCTTCAACTTCTTCAGCCATCACCCCCTTCAACTCTCGTAGCCAAATTTTGTCTTAATCGTCATATTATAAATGTAACTAACACATGCTAAGGAAGAAGAAAAACCAAGCCATTAGAATGAATATTGAGCTCCATGGGAAGATTTCTCGGGGAAATTTCCTACCTCCCTAATCCCACTCCCCATAGATAACCAGCAATTATTTCTCCATGGCCGTTCAGGAGTCCTTGCTGCAAACTCATGTGCTATTCATGCTGTTTCACAAATAGTGTACTATTTTTTTTTTTGCAAGGGTTCCCATTCACCACTATCTTTCAGATATGTTTTTAATGATCGCACTGTACTCACCTCAGTGTTCTTCCCTAATCCGAGCCCACTGACGGACGTCCGGGCCAGGTTTTGCCATCACAAGCATCGCTGCAGGAAACAGGCTGACGTGTCTGTCCTTACACACTTGTAAAGGGAAACTATAGGATGAGTTCTTGGCGGAAGAATGCCAAGTCAGAATATGTTCAGTAAACGTTCTCTAGACACTGCCAGGTCGCCCTCAGCGAAACCAATTTACACGCCTTCCCACTGAACACGAGCGTTTGATTCCCGACATCTTCCTGCTTTGATTTGTGCTTTTCTGTGTGAGCGAAGTTGAGCCTAACTGCACGTTCGGGGGCTTTTTGCTAACTTCATTTTCTGCCAACTGTGTACCTCTGCCCTTGAAGGAGATAATCCCTTCTCATTTCTTTTCTTTTTTTTTTTTTTTTTTAGTTTTTATTTATTTATGATAGTCACAGAGAGAGAGAGAGAGAGAGAGAGAGAGAGAGAGAGGCAGAGACATAGGTAGAGGGAGAAGCAGGCTCCATGCACCGGGAGCCCGACGTGGGATTTGATCCTGGGTCTCCAGGATCACGCCCTAGGCCAAAGGCAGGTGCCAAACCGCTGCGCCACCCAGGGATCCCTCCGTTCTCATTTCTTGTGCACTTCGGTTCACTGCAACCCGACATTGCCCTGCCACTTATCTCTGTACCAGCTCCTTGACGACACCCCTTAATCCTCACAGGATCTAATGAAAGGGGGACATAGTCCTACCCTGCAGACGACACTCAGGTTCAGGAGATGACACCACTAGGAAGAGACAGACATGCCCATCTGACTCTAAACCATTTCTTTCCACTGTCCTGTGCTGTTTCCCTGGAATCTCTTTCCCTGCTTACCAGGTACCTGATTGCTGGTTTTATCTCTGTGGGGCACTGGCCATTGAAGAACCTTTCCGATTACTGTGGCTTTCATGACAGACATGTCCTCTGGAAGGTTTGGGTTGCTGCAGGTGTTGGAAATACTCTAAGCCGGTTAAACAATGAGGGAAGTACTACTTCCATAACACAGAAGTCAACAAAAAGTGGCAAAGCTCGATCTTGGAGCTCGATGTCACCAGCAACCTAATTGCTTTCCTCCTTTGGGGTCCTCATCCTAAGTTTGGCTCTCTGTGGTCTCCAGGTGGTTGCCAGCAATTCCTTAAACTACGTGTCTCCTGCTTCAAGTCCGGAAGTGGAAGAAATCCTAGATGCAGGATTCCCAGCAAAAATCCTGGGTTTCTCTCCAATTGGATCATCCCCACTTAATGTCCATTGGTGAATCATCATGGCCCCGGGATGGGAGCCCTCTCTCATCCTCACAAAGAGACACAGCCTCACAAAGAGAAATTAGGCCTTTGGGGAAACTGAAAGGGGGGAGTGAGGCAGAGAAGGGAGGGAAGAATGTTTACCTGGCAGCACACTCCCTGGTTTTTCCACTTCCGGCCACCCCTTTGCTGACCCCACTCCTGCTCCGAAGTGTCCCTGTCCCCAGGGGCCAGTCTGTGGTCTCCTCGGTCCTCTGATCTTGGGCACTTGAACAGCCACAACTCCCAGATTCCTTTCTCCAATCTAGAGCCCTCCCTTCAGCTCTGGATTTAACCACCTCCTGGACATTCACCACTAGACACTTGAGCTTCCAGGAACCTCGCCCTTCTCGATCATGTGCCTCCTCCCGGGGCTCCCACCGTGATGACCGCCAAGCCGGAAACCGTGGTCCCTGCTGACTGCCTTCTCTGTCATCCCCCACCTCCAGCTGGACCTTTGGGGCTGGCGTATCTTCCTCCGTTCCTCTCATTCTCTTCGTCTCCATGTTGCAATAGCTTCCGTTGTAGCCTGTAGCTCACCCACCTCCAGGCCCTCTGGGCTATCAGGCTCCCTCAGCTGTGGGTCAGACGCTGTCAGGATAAACCACAAATGGCTCATCCTGCCTGCCTGCTGTGTCCTCAAGCCCCCAGCCCCAGAGCCCGTCCCCGAGCTTAGAAGTCCTGCCCTTCGTTCACGACTCCTCTTGACTGGTGCGCATGTCTTTTCTGCTTCCTCAGGGTCTCCTCCCTGTCTTGGCTGGAGAATTTACCTCCATTCTTTTTTTTCTTTTGTAAAGATTTTATTTATTTGAGAGAGAATCTGAAGCAGACTTCACACTGAGCATGGAGCCTGACACGGGGCTTGATCCCATGACCGCAGAATCATGACCTGAGTGGAAGTCAAGAGTCAGACGCTCAGCAGACTGAGCCACCCAGGCGCTCCTGTCTCCATCCTTTGTGACCCTGCTCACCCATCACCAGCTTGAGAGCTTTGCTGGGCACTTTCCTTTCCGCACCCACGAGCACAGTCTCGACATCCCCCTTGGCGCCTCCATAGTGTCATGTGGTAATTACCTCCTGAGCCGTCCGGCCTCACTCCTCTCCACCCCTGCCCCAGACTGCTAGGGCCTGGAACGCATGCCCGGGCCTTTCTGACTGAGCCTGTGCCCAGCAGGGTCTCAGCAGAGAGAAGGTCACCAGCAAATGGTGATAGTCATTCTGTGCTTCCAGTTGCCCAGAACAGAAACTGGAGCCATCACCAACCTCCCTTTCTCTACATCCTGCCCCCAATCTCTAAGAAAGTCTTGCTGCTACTCCCTTGAAAACATACCCAGAACATAGCCATTGCTCACCGCCATCTCTTGCCTGGACTTGAGCAATCACCCAGCCGGACTCAGTATTTCCACCCAGGGGCCCCTTCATTTTATTCCCAATCTAGCAGTCACAAAGATCTTTCTGAAATGTAAATCAGATTAAACCACTCCAGCTCACAACCCTACAGTGGCTCCCTGTTTCCCTCAGAGGAAAAGCCAAAGCCCTTCTAACATAGGCAGGCTCGGTGCCACTCACCCTTCTGACCTCACCCCGGACCACCCTCCGCCCTCTCTTCTTCTTTAGCCATTCCAGCCTTCTCACTGTTTGGAACTTCTCCCTTCGTCGTGGCTTCATCTCCTGAGGTTACATGATGTCGACAGCAGGTGTCAGCCTAATAAAACCACCACGACTGAGACATCTGCCCAATCTGGGTCATGTTACTGAGGAGAAAGATTCACGTTTTCTGGGCCTGATGGGATGTTAGTGACATTAAGAAGGTGAGTGAAAGGCTGAGTCTGAGGCTTGCCCTTGTGGGCGAGTTCGTTTCTCCACATCCCTGTGTGGAAAGTTCATCTGAGGCCGTTTGCTTCCAGCTGTCAGGGCCAACGTGACACTCCCTGGCGACCTCAGGACTGTCCTGACTTTCCAGCCCTGATCAGGCCCGTCTGTAGGGCCTCCTGTATGTCACGAGCCTCCCTTATATCCACAGGACGTGGACTCAGCCCACCCTTGATGAGGCTGTGATCAGCTGAGCAGGAAATAGCAACTGCCCTAGACACTTAGGAAGTACCTGTGTGCAGAGGGGAGAAAAGCCACAGAAACAGGGGCCGGGTGATCCACCCCCAGCCTCCCACCCCTGTCTCCCTCCCTACCTCTCCCCCGCCCCAGACTCTGCTTTTTCCATAGCATGCCACTTGCTAACCTGCCATATATTATACTTGATTATTACACTCATTGGTTACCATGTGCCATCCTTGCTAGAATGTTCCCTCTAGCAGAACAAGGGCTTTAGTCTGACTTGTTCACTGACGAGTCCCAAATGCCTACAGAAATGCCTGGCACCTTGTGGATACTTGTGTGGATCCGTGGTGTCGGCCTCCCTCCATCTTGGCAAATAGTCCCTTTGTAAATAGTCCCTCCTTGAGTTACGATGTCTTGAGCGTGCCATCTGATTCCTGCCGAAGCACCGGTTGATAGGATGATCAATACACGTTCATGGACTGGGGTGCCAGGTGGGCTCAGGCGGACGAGCATGGGGCTCTTGATCTCCAGGTCATGAGTTTGAGCCCCACTTGAATAAAAAAAATTTTAAAACTTAGAAAAAACTGGGGGGCACCTTGGTGCTTCAATTGGTTAAACATTGACTCTTCATTTCACCTCAGGTCATGGTCTCAGGGTTCTGGGGTCGAGCCCCAGGTGAGCATGGAGCCCACTTCAGGATTCTGTCTCCCTCTGCCCCTCCCCCTACCCTTTCGCTCTCTCTTTCTCTCTCTCTCTAAAGTAAAAAATAATAAATTTTTCAAGGAACCAATCAGTCCAGTGTTTGTGAGATGAATGAATGGTTGGCAACCCGTGGAAGATCGCCCACTTTCCTGAACATTCTCTTGTATGTTGCTACTACAGAGACACTCTACTGCTCTCTTTTCCAACTTCTAGAATGCTGAGGAAGGGGAGTGAATCTGGTGGTTGGGTTTTCTTTTGCTGATTGGGAGAGAGGATGTGACTTCTTTCCCTGAAGCAGCCCCAGCAGGTGCACACCTGTGATCAGGCTTAAGTGCTGTATGCGTCCTCGAAGGAGGGTCAGTTCAGTGGTCAGAGCGACCTCTGACCTCTCCTCCTCTCAGCGCATGATTTTCCCGTTACTCATTATAGGAAATTAAGCCCAGAGCCCAGGGAAACTGCCTCACACATGAGCGCACGCCAGCCCGAGTGCAGGGTCCTCCCGAAGTCACACGGCAGGTCAGAGTCACATTGTGGTTATCTCTCAATTTCTCACATGACCTGGTTTCTTGGCTCTACTGGGGGGTAAAAACATAATCTGCTTAATTTTCAGGAAAATCTAAGTGATAAAAAGTAAAACAGTGCAAGATAATTGCTTTTTACTTCCTATCTCCTTCCAGGATCTCCCCCTTTTCCTGCTTCTGTTTCCTTCTTCCCTCTCTCCCTTCCTTCTTTCTCTTTTCTCCCACCCTCCCTTTCTGTCTCAGTGTATGTCAGGACCTAAACCACTGACCAGGGAAGTTATCGGATGCAAAAATGCTTTAAGAACTCCAGCTGGCCTGTTCTCTAGGCTGGGAGAGGCCTCTCCCTGTAAACAACCATCTGCAGGAGTGAGCCACGATTTCCTTCTGGTCTCAGAGGTTTTAAAACTCACCAGGGAGTTTATCACACACACGGCTCTGCCGGGAGGGCCCGAGTGCACTTCCCGTGGTACCTGTTGGAATGGAGACAGAGCTCTCCCCTCAAATGATTCTAGACCCAGACCTTAAAGCCAGCACAGTGGATCACAGGCCTAGATGTAAAGTGCAAAACCATAAAACTCCTAGAAGCTAAGAGAGGAGAAAACCCAGATGCCCTTGGGTGTGCCAAGGACTTTTTAGATTCGACACCAAAGGCACATCCATGAGAGAAATCACAGATAAGCTGGACTTGACTGAGATTTAAGACATCTGCTCTGTGAAAGACGATGTCAAGAGAACGGAGAAGACAAGCCACAGACTGGGAGCAACTATTTGCAAAAAACATCAAATAAAGGACTGTTACTCAAAATATACAAAGAACTCTTGAAACTCAACCATAAGAAAACAAACTACCCTATTAAAAAATAGGTCAAAGACCGTAACAGACGCCCCCACCAAAGAAGATACACGGATGGCAAGTAAGGATGTGGGAGGATGCTCCGTGTCATATGTCATTAGTGAATCACAAACGGAAACAACAGAGGTGCCCCTGCACACCTCCTAGGATGAGCCAAGTCCAGAGCACGGACACCGCCGCCTGCTGGCGAGGACGGGGAGCCGCAGAGACGCTCGCTCACCGCTGGTGGGAATGCAGACCCGTGGGACCACTTTGGAAGTGACCGTGGGCTGGTTTCTTACCAAACTAAACATTCTATTACCATAGGATCCAGCAGTCATGCTCCTTGGTATTTACCCAAAGGAGCTGGAAACCTATATCCACGCAAAACCCTGCACGCAGATGTTTATAATAGCTTTAGTCATAATTGCCAAAACTTGGGAGCAACCCAGGTGTCCTTTAGTAGGTAAGTGGATAAATAAACCATGGCCCATCCAGACAATGGGATATTTTCAGTGCTACAAAGAATTGTGCTTCTCCAAGCCAGGAGAAGACACGGAGGAACCTTCAATGCATATCTCTAGGTGAAAGGAGCCGACCTGCAAAGGCCGCATGCTGCAGGATCCCAACTCGGTGGCATTCTGATAAAGTGAAGCAACGTACACAGTAAGAAAGATTAGAGTTTCCAGGGTTTATGGGGAACCGATGAAGAGGTGAACACAAGACTTTCAGAGCACCGAGAGTGTTCTAGGCTGTTACAGTGATGGATCCATGTCCACACATCGTCATCCGACTGTCCAAACCCGTAGAAGGTGCAGCACCGAGAATGAGCTCTAATGTCAGCTGTGGGCTTTGGGTGACGATGGTGTGTCATGTAGGTTCAGCACTTGGGGCAAATACACCCTCTGGTGGGGATGTGATAATGGGGAGGCGTGCGTGTGTTGGGGAAAAGTATACGGGAAATCTCTGTGCTTTCCCAATCTTGCTATGAACTTAACACTGCTGTCAAAAAGTAAAGTCTTAATAAAACAATTTTCCCCTTCAGGCTTGCTCCCCTTCAGGCCTGAGGTGCCCGGGAATAAGCCAAGGGCCCCTGAAGACCCGGCCGGCCCTCCGTTTCTGACTTGTGGTCAAATGCAAGGTCAAAGAGCGCCCCTTTGGGAGGCGTGCAGGCCACCTCCCCAGCTCCCCATCCCTAGGTGGTGTCTCGGGGTGACCCTGTTCCCCACGTGGGCACTGTGGGTGGCCCGTGTGACCAGACCTGAGGCTCAGCCATGCAGGGAGGGTGTTGCACATGGACACAGCCCTCCTTGGCCTCCTGGGACCTGAGGCCAGCCAGCTCTCCTGGCTACAGTTCCTCAACTCCCAACAAGTTGGGTGCTCCTATGTCCACGTCTTGCTGGGCCAGACCGGGGAGTGGACATCTTGTCCCCTGGCTGCAGAGGGAGCCCGTGGTGAGTCTGGCGGCCCACACCGGTGGCCCAGTTACCAGGTGCCAACACGGAGCACTTCATCTCTGTTTGCATGCTGGCGGTGATAAGAATAAGCAAACATCCTGCAGACCACGCGGGCTGGAGGGCTGTGGCTCCAGAGGGCAAAGGTGCCCCAGCGACCCCTCCTGTTAGGAAGCCAGGGGAGAAGTGTGGGTCGGAGGCAGGAGGGGATGCACGGCTGCCGCGAGGCCTCCCTCCACGGTCTCTCACACTGTGCCTGCCGGCCTGGGAGGCCAGACGCTGGCCGGGCCTGTGTGAGGCTTGTGCAGCCTTCCCAGGTGGCTGGCAGCCAGGGGCTGGCCTGTGGGCGTCTGGCCCAGCTGGACGGCGGCTGCCTTTCTCCTGCTGCCCCTGGCGCATAGCCCACGCCTGGCGCGACGCTGAGACCTTTCCCCCACTTCCAACTAGGGCCTCCAGATGATTCCAGGCCCCTAAAGTTTGCAGGAGTCACATGTCGCTGGCACAGGGCCTCCCAGGCCATTCCCTGCCTCCCCTCTACTTGCTTGGGCCGGAGGATCACGAGCAAGGAGGGGAGAGAACTCTGGCCCCCGAGGAGGCCCATCGCAGGCCTGTGAGGCTGGGGCCCGGGCGGGGGCAGGATGACGGGCCACCCTCTGTGCGCCAGGACCCCTAGCACCGGCTCCAGATCAGCACGGTGCCTGCCCTGTCCATCATCAGGCACCTGTCCAAGCCCCGAATGTCGCTGGTGGGCACTGGTCCTGACCCGCTGTCTCAGCTGCCAACAGCACGGGCCAGTCATCGTGGGACCCTCCCTGTGTCCCCAGCCTCTGTTGGCTGCTTCTAATTCCCCTGGCCTTGGGCACCACAGACCCAGCTGCTGGTGCTCCTGGCCGTGTCACTGCCCCACGAGGCTCCCGATCCCTCACTCCCCAGACACCATCCTCAAGACAGACAGTGACAACACAGGCTGGGGTGGGGGCTTTCCCAAAGAGCCACGGTGGGGGCAGCAGGGCCCAGGTAGGACTGCGGGTCTTCCCACTCCAGGGCCCAAGGCTCAGATGGAGAAACTAAGGCGCAGAGGTAAACGGGGGCCAAACTGAGCCCTGGAGACCCCCAGCCCCAACCCCAAGCCCTGCCTGGACCCTGGAACAAACATCTGGGTGGGGGATGCTGGGCTGCATGGAGTCAGGGGCTCCCAGCCTCTTCCCAGAGGGCACAGGGCCAGGCCCCGATCCTGCCTCTATCATCTTGTTTGGAGCTACCCTCCCTGGGTCACGCCTCTTGCCCCAGCTTCCCAGGGAACCCCATTAGATGGAAGCCTGCAGACATCAGAGGCGCCCCCCACCCCCACTCCCTGAAGGAGCCCCCGCCTGCTGTCTTGTCAGGCCTGGCAACAGAAGCGTCCCCAGCCTCTTGGGGGTTGCAGGACGGAGGCCCCGGAGTCAAGCCAGTGCTCTGAGTAGTGGGCCTTAGCAAGCAAACCAGGAGGTGGGGTCCGCTTGCCACCCACGGAGCCCTGGGGCTTCCTTCCAGGTCCCCTGGGTCTGCGCCCTCCCCAGGCCAGTCTCCGTCAGCTCCCAGCCCTGGCAAGTGCTAGTCCCCCTGCACCTGTCCAGCTCCCGGGGGGCTGCTCCCTGCCTTCCTGTCCCCCAGGGGCCCGCTCCCAGGAGCTCACAGGCTGCGGGGTGTGGGTGGCTGCAGCCCTTCTCTAGAGCCTGAGAGGATGTCGTTCCCGGTGAGGAGGGCACAGAGCTCGGGAGCCTGGGACAGGGAGACGGGAACCCAGTTGTATTTCTAGATGTGTCGCGGGCACCCAGAAACATCCCGGGGGGCCGGCGCCTGGCTGCCGCGGGGCGGGATGCTCGCGGGCCTTCCCCGAGCTTCCGGGCTTGCAGTTTGAGAACCGAGCCGTGATAAAGCCAGCTCGTGGGCTCGTGTGAGGACCGAGACGGTGCGTGTCAGGGGCTGAGCCCCGTGTGGCTGCCGCGTGTGAGCCGGGACGGCAGGGGTACCAGAGCTCGTGGCACACAGGCTCCACCCTCCACCTTCTCTCAAGAAATAGCAGCTCGAAGAGCAAAACAAAAACAGAAAAACCAGGGGCACCTGGGGGGCTCGGTCAGTTAAGCATCTAACTCTTGATCTCAGCTCAGGGTCGTGAGTTCGAGCCCCACATTGGGCTCCGAGCTAGGCACAGCGCCTACTTCAAACAAACAACAAAGAACAAAACAGCAACTCTTCCCCTCCCCTGCCAGCATCCCCTTCACTTCCTTCCCTAACCCTAAGTCTAACTGGGTTCAAGTCCTTAGGGGGGTGCAAGGGAGGTGTCTGTCTGGTTGGGGGACACTGTGGTGAGAGCGGGTGTGGGCACACAGCGGGGTAAGGGGGGCACCTCCAGCCTGACAGGTCCATGGGAGGGAGGGGAGACGGCCTGGCCCGGGGTCGGAGACTGAGCAGTGAGGTGGGACGGCGTGGTGCCAGGTCCCAGCAGAGGAGGAGGTGCTGCCCAGGGTGGGTGCAGCTCCTGAGCAGGGTGAGGGCGGCATCGGGGTGGAGGGTGCGCAGGGGGTCCCCCTGGTGGGGGGCTGATGAGAGCTGTCAGAGCCCCGATCGGGCGAGGGGCCCTGGCCCGGGGACAGCACTGTGGGCCGTGCCAGCTGAGAGGAAGGCACGTGGGTGGGCGGATCCGGGGAGGGCCGGCCGGTGAGGGGGATACATAATGGAAGGAAGCCGGCTTCCCCCCCTTGGGAGCAGGGTTACAAGCATGGGAGCAGAGGAAACTGGAGCGGACCTACCTTGTTGGTTGGAACTGGAGAAGCTCCCTGTGGGAACTCCAAGTTCTCAGTATTTACAGATAGAGGAATAAATGTTGATAGGCGCGCGTCGCGTGTGTGTGTGTGTGTGTGTGTGTGTGTATGAGGTCAGGCATGTATGTGAGTGCAGGCATATGTGGGTATGTGTGCATGTGTGTGAGTACAGGCTGACATGCATGTGTATGTGTGCATATGTGTATGCATGCATGCATTAGTGCAGGCATATGTGTATGTATGCGTGCATGTGTGTATGTGAGTACAGGCATATGTAGGTATGTGTGCACGCATGTGAGTACAGGCATGTGTGTATATGTGTTCATGCATGTGCATGCATGTGCGTGCAGGCAGGCTTACATGCATATATGTATGTATGTACATGCATATATGTGTGCATGCATTGTATATGTGTGTGAGTAGAGGCATATATATGTGTGTATGTGTGCATGCAGGCTTACATGTGTGTATGTGTGTGCATGTGTGTGCATGCACTGTATATGTGTGTGTGTGAGTATAGGCATATATGCATGTGTGTGGAGGCTTACATGAGTGTGTATGTGTGCATGCTTATGTGTGAGTGTGTGTGCATGCTGCTCTTCTCCGAGGCTCAGTGAGAGGGCCTGGGAGCTGTGCGCCCTGATAACAGCGTGTACACTTGGAGCCCGAACCTGGGCTTCTCGGAGTTGTTCCCACCAAAAGGAGCCAGGGCCCCGGGGGAAGCGGCCAATCCCAGGGATGAGGCGGGGGGGAGCACACGAGATGAGCCCGGAGCACTTTGTTGGGCAGAAAAAGCAAGAACATGCTCAAAGGAGCCTGGGGACATGGCAAAGGGACCCAAGTGCCACCTGGAAGGGGCTCCACTGGGCCAATCTAGGATAACTGGAGCTTCAGAATAAGTGACCGTCACAGAACAAAACAATATCACGACCCCACATGACTATAGACTAACACAGGAACACATCAGAATTTTATTAAGAATCAGGTATTGGGATCCCTGGGTGGCGCAGCGGTTTGGCACCTGCCTTTGGCCCAGGGCGCGATCCTGGAGATCCGGGATCGAATCCCACGTCGGGCTCCCGGTGCATGGAGCCTGCTTCTCCCTCTGCCTGTGTCTCTGCCTCTCTCTCTCTCTGTATGACTATCGTAAATAAATTAAAAAAAAAATTAAAAAAAAAAAAGAATCAGGTATTTAGGGCAGCCTGGGGGGCTCAGCGGTTGAGAGTCCGCCTTTGGCTCAGGGCGTGACCCCGGGGTCCCAGTATCGAGTCCCGCATCGGGCTCCCTGCAGGGAGCCTGCTTCTCCCTCTCCTGTATCTCTGTGTCTCTCATGAATAAATAAATAAAATCTAAAAAGAAAAAAAAAGAATCTGGTATTTACACGCCCTCAAGTACCACCCCTCAGAATATTTCTTAATTACAGACTCAAAGTGTCTGTACAGCGGAGAACCGGGCAGACGTGACCTTAGCCAAGGGATTGGAGCCAACATGATCGTGATGGGAGAAGCCACTCTCGGCTCTGAGCTGCTCGCACGCAGAACGACATGCACCCAGCCCGAGATGCTCCTGCCCCAGACGTCGCCCCCGATTCTAGCTTTGAGGAGCCCCCTGGGGGCGCAGGGCGGGCTTCCTCCCTCTCAGGAAGGTTCCAGAGACTTCTCTGGCCTGATAGCTTCGTCAAATATGGTCTGACATCCACTGGGGGGTCTCTCCGGCTGGGGTACTTGGTTCACCTCACCAGTGGTAGTAGAGGCCTGCCAGTGTAGATGAAGCCAGGGCTCTGGAG